GAAACAGTGGGCACAGAAGTAGACCAGAGGCCAGAGCTCAGGCCCTGAAGCCTGAGCCCTCTGAGAGGTCCTTCCGTGTAGATACCTTCCCCAGCAGCCACAGCCACCTTCCTCTGGACTCTCAGCAAAGCTATTTTCTCCCTTCAAAACATGGGCAGGAAGGCCTTCCTGCCCCCGAGCCCAGCAGAGGGCAAAGCCACAGACCCTGAGCACGCCTAGCACGTCGCTCCCGACCTCCTGACCTCCCGACAGCCCAGGTCTCGGTCTGGGCTTGCCCCCTCCTGTCCCACCACAGCAATGCTTTGCAGTTGGAGCAAACCCGCCCGACAGCGCCCCGCGGCGGCCTGGAGCGGGCGTTTGCAGAATGACGCAGCCTTCTATCCTGTACAGCTGTCCTGTCTCGGCATCGCTGACAACTCCCTCCAGACTGTGAACTCGCAGCAGCTGGAAGGCAAGAAGCAGAAGCTCTGGACGTCCCCGAGGGCATTTGTGGCCTTGTTCATTACCTCCCACAGAGGCCTCTTTGATGCCGTGCGGTACCTTCTAGAAAATGGTAATTCTCATAGGAAGTGGAGTGTGTGCGGGAGTCGGGGGTCTCTTGCAGGTAGGGAGAGCAGAGTGCCTGGTGCCCCTGGGCCTTCAGCCATGGTGCTGTGGGCGTGTCTGTCGCCCACCCATCACAGTCCCCATTGGGCCCCTGGCTCCCTGGGTTATGTGTCTTAGGACATGCCAGCCAGAAACCACCCCCTCCTCTTGGCCAAGCCACGGGGTTCTTCCTGCTGCTATGGGACACCGAGAGGCAGGAGCTGCCCAAGAGGTTTCCTGGTTTAGTTCCAACCACACACCTGCTGGGGATAGTCTCGCGCGGCCTGTGTGGTTCTCAGCCCCACCTGGAGATGGGCTTCCAACAGGGTCCAGCCTCAGGCCAGCACGTGCGGCAGGTGGTTGGCAGACTGGCCGGTCCTTCCTCCAAACCTCCAATTATTTCCTCAGGGGACGTCACCCCAAAGTCTCTGCTTACTCACCTCCACTTAGGAGTCTGTCTCAGCTGACAGTGTTGTCTCTGCGCTAGAGGGCCTTGCCCGAGTTTCTGTGGGAATACATGTTAGCCTCCCTGAGGGTGGGATATTGCTGGGAAAAGATGCCCACGGAGCGAGGGGACCGTTCAAAACCTGGGCCGCAGCTGTAGAGAGCCGCAGCTGTAGAGAGCCGCGGCCGCCGGCCCCTGGGAAGAGGGAGCACCAGTCCCAGGAGTTCACTCCCTGGCTTGGGCTCAGGAGGCCTTCCCGAGGGCTCCCATCAGCTGGGCCCCTCCAGACGCCCCCATGCTGCCTGTGCCTTGGCTCAGCCTCTCTCGGCCTGGCCCTGGCTCTTGCACCTCCCCAAGCAGGGAGATCGGCTAGGGTGTCGGGTGTTGCTCGGCCATGCACTGGGTGCGAAAGCCGCCAGGGCGGGGAGCTCCCGGCCGTGTTCCCCACCTCCCTCCACTGCCTGCTGCTAGTTATGAACTGACACGTGGGCTTTTCACAGCACGGCAATCCTTTCAGCTCATTCTCACTCTGTGCACTGTGATGTATTTGAAGGCACCAGTTAAAAATGGCAGGCAGCTTCGGAAAGTTCCTGTGCTCTGCAGACAGCTGGGAGGAGGCGCCGTGGCTGACGCCGGCACCCCGAGAGCCCGTTTCGTACCTCACCTCACCGCCACGGCTCATAAAAACCGGCCGCCGAGATGTCGGCTGGGTTTAATGGAATCGCCTTGTTTTCTGTGTCATGGTATCTTTTACCCAGAATTCGATTCAGTTCCACAAGTCCACTCAGGACAGCTGTCATTGGCCCATCCGCCTGCAGGAGGTGGTGAGGAATTTAATCAGTGAAATCTTCCCATGAGTCAGGCTGCCGGCCGGCCGTCATTTCCCCAGTGCCTGTCTTCTCCAGGCTTCGAGCTACGTGCCGGGGATGAAAACAGCTGTGGTCAGAACGTGGCCTTGCGGGGTTTACGAGGGGAAGTTAGCAGACTGTTACAAATAACGAATTGCACGGTCAATTGTGTACGGATGTTCTGAAGACGTAAAGCAGCTATCGGGCGTACACGGAGGGTCGGTGGGGGGCGGGCAGGAGCTCGGGAAGGGTTTCCTGAGGAAGCACATGGAACCCAAAGGAGAGTCAGAGCACAGAAAAAAGCAGGGTGGGAGTGTGGGTAGCAGGGGGACGGCAAGTGCAAAGGGCCTGGGGCAGGAGGCAAAGCAGGGTGCATCGGGGGTAAAGAGGAAAGAGCGCAGGCGTAATTGGGGCCCTGGGAGCCGTGGGGAGGAAGAGCATGGAGTGGTGCTGAGGCAGTAGGGGAAGTGGGGGAGGCAGAGCGGGAAGACCTAGCCCAGTACTACGGGCAGCGGGATGGCAGGGACGGGACGAGCGGGACTACATCAGCCTTCTAGAGAGATCATGGCTGCCCTGGCGGGGGACAGACGAGGCCACGCTGGGGCGGAGGAACAGCAGCCATCAGTCCCCGAGGGCTCCCTCCCGTGTTCCCCCTCCTGACCCGTCTCCCAGGCCACCCTGCTTGTCTTGCAGGAGCCAACTGCCTCGGCCGATCCCCCCTGGGCCGGACGCCCCTGCACGTGGCCGCAGCCATGGGCCGGCTGGACTGCATCGGCCTTCTGCTCGAGCACGGTGCCTCCATCCACGACAAAGACGCCAAGGGGGAGACCCCCATCGCCCTCGCCCGCCGCCTGAACCGCAAGCAGAGCGAGCAGCGCATGCTCCTCCTGCACTGGGTTATGAAGACGGGGGCCACGGACCTGAGCGGCTCTGCCCTCACGAAGGCTTTCCAGAGGGTCAAGTCTGGCTTCGCTTCCAAGTACAGGACCCAGACTCGGCTCCCCGTGGCAGCACTGGCCTCTGGACGCTGACTCCGGTCACTTTCCGCAGTGCAAGCCCACGGTGGCCCGGCGAGCAGGACACGGGGAACGTGCTGGGTAAACTGTTGGACGCTGGCTTGTCTGTCCTGGTGGTGAGGACTTGGGGGCAGGGGTGTGGGTCCCCGACCACGTGCTCCACCTCTGCGTTCGGGCAGTAACTCACTGCGGCCCCGAGAGGCGCAGATGCCACTTGGGCATCGACTTAAGCTGTTTGCAGATTGCACCCGAAATGCCGCCTGGGCAGGGGAGCCCATTCCCTCATGCCCTCGCAGAGACCCAGCGCACAGCATGATGGCAGCGGGGACAACGCGGTTGTCGTACAAAACAGGCATGGCAAACGTCGGGGTCGCCGCGTCCTGGTGCTGGGAGTGTCCGTCTGTGAAACCCGTAAAACACAATCCTTCCACAGCTAGGGGCACTCCCGAAGTCTGCCTGAGCCATCTTTGGGCGGCCCGCCTCCCGAGTCGGGGGTCAGGAAGAACTCTGCTCCAGCGTGTTCTAAAGGGATGCCTTGTTGAAAGGGGACAGTTGAGTTGACCTCAGATGTGGAGGGACCAGACGACGGCGAGTTCATACAGGGCGGTGGGTGCTGGGCGCTGGCTTTTACCCCACCCTGGTGGCCCGGGAGGCCCCCCCCCCGTGTTCTCCTTTTCCTAGAACCTGGGGAGCACCTTTCTCCCTCCCTCGGGGCATTCCGCCTGGAGTCTGTCCTCACGCGGGGCTCTCCCTGCTGGGCCCGCCTGCCCTGGGTGAAGGAGCTGGAGGCACGGGAAGGAGACCCGCGGACGGGGTGCTGTGAAGCTCTGGTGGAGACGAGCTGGCCGCAGCTGGATCTTCTCAGAGCCAGGCGCCTGGCCTTTTGAGCGGCACCTCCTGCATTTTAAACGTTGCCTGAGCTTGAGAAGAACATGGCAGGGTCCAGAAGGAGGATTTGGGGCCCGCCCACAGGACGGCCTCTGTCTCAGTTTCCCCGAGAAATGTGGCGGAAGCAGCTCACATCTCATTGGGATGGTCCACAGCAGGGGATGGCCACGGCCTGCCGGGTGACACTTCTCGTCCACCTCCCACAGGCCACACAGGCCATGTACCCTAACAGCTCCCGAACGACCACGTGTGGCCACGGCCCCTGCACAGCAAGTCCTGGTCTCCAAGCGATGGGCAAAGGCCCTGCACCCCGGCTGCCCTCCTTTCCGGCTTCATCCCACTGACCGGATGCAGCTTTTAAATTAACTGGCTGCATCCACGTCTGTCATGGTGGACGACCAGTGTCGACGGTGTGGTTTCAGCTCAGTGGCCGTGGCTGCGCCGGCTCAGCCTTCTGTTTGACAGTCAGGGAAGTAGCCCGGCCGCCACCAGGGCAAACTCGAGACCGCTTTTGGCAGATGCTCTCCAAAGGCAACGGGCAGACGTTAAATAACCCCCGCCCCGCGCTCATTCATTTAGCTAAAGCCGGTCGCGAGGGGTGACGTGGGTGCTCCTCTAACAAGTGTCATTACTCAGAGTGACATGTTTGCCAAGAGCGCGACTAAGCTGCCTTTGTCGTTACGGGAGCCGAGTGCCCTAATATTGGGCCAAACACTTTTATCTTCCTAAATCCTGGATTCGATTAGATGCTTGGCCAGACCTTGGGCAAATTCCAGACTCTCTGCGGTGACATTTTGTCCAGTCTGTAACAGGGTCATCTGAACACGTGCATAGGCCCTAGGGAATGCTGTGTTCCCCCCTCCCCTCCCAATAGGGCAAGAGAGACAAAGACAGAAAGAGGAAAAGAGAGAAATCCCTCTCCCACCCCAGGAAATGGCTTGTTGCTGTAATCCCTTCTCTCAGGATCCTGGGTATATACACACACGTGTCTGGTGTGAGTTTTAAGATGCCAGGTCCAGGACTCGAACCATGGTTGACTATGTGAGAGTCCAGGGACATGACCATTACGCCATCCGCTGGTCCTCATTTTGGACAATCTTAACATCCTGTTTATTAAAACAAGCCTGTATCTGTTTGCAGATTGCACCAGAAATGCAAGTAAAATAAATATATAAAATGTAAATAAATAAAATATGCCCTAACCATAGAAGAGTTAAGTTGCAATTGGGTGATACAAGGTTACATTTTGTGCAGAGTTCATTAAACATTTATTTTGAATTTTTTTTTCTTATGCTTTGGAACCCAACAGAAAAACGAAAAGGAATGTTTGTTTGTTTGTTTGTTTGTTTTGGTGGGAGCAATCAATCTCAGAGATTTTTGTAGAACCCTGAAATCCTTGTCGGCCCAAGGCGGGGATGGTCAACATGGTGGAACAGCCGCTGCGCGCTTGCCTGGTGGGCCTGACTGTAGAGAGGAGACGGGCTTCCTCTTGGACAGACCCCAGTCTGTCTTCTGGGGCAGAACGTCCAGTCTCACCGTCTTCTCAGGCACCCCCACGTAGGACTGGCCTTCCAAGCACAGAGGAGATGGGCCCGTGCAGAGTTGGAGCTGCAGGGCTTGGGGTCTGCGTGGACTCTGGCCTCATCTCGCCGGCCCTGCCATGTGGCCGTGGCCAACGCCCCGCTGACTGAGCAGACTCTTCTGCAGAGGAGGATGGAGACTAATCACGGTCCCTGGACCCTCGGTGGTCGGAGGGCTTGAGCGGGAGAAGTGTCCAGCCGCTGTGGCTCACACTGAGAGAGCTTGGCTGGAGTCTTGCCGAAGTCCTGGTGAGATGGTTAGCATTTGAGAGGGAGGGAAGTTAGACCCACTCCCTGGCCCCCCTAAAAGCATCGAACACTGGCGCCCCGACCTGTGAGCTCAGCGCCCTCACAAACCCAGAGCTGCATGTCCCTGGGCTTCCCGGAGGCCCCAGCAAAGGGCACCCCTCCTGGCTATCGGGGACGCTGCCCCTCTGGGAGCCTTACAGCAGCCGGGAGCAGCCCTTGGGCAGGCGAACCCGCAGAGGGGCACACTGCGTGGGCAGATGATGGGGACAGCGTCGTCGGCCACTGCGTTCCATGGACCTTGGGGCCAGAGTTCTTGAGCCAAGGTTGTGCCCACCTCGACCCACTCCCTCGCTGTCTGGCTTCCCAGAACGAGGTCTGCTGCCCTCGCTGAAGCGCCAGCTCCTTGTGCCGGCGTTCTGCTGGCAGCTGCCTCCTCCCGGGAAGTGGTGTGATGGGAATCAGGGTGACGCCAATGGCGGGGTGGACGGTGACTTGCACATTTGGCCCAGGCTGTTGGTGCTGTCCCCTGGGTGGCTGAGCGGAGTGGCTGGGCTTTCCGTCTGGGCTGCAGTGTCTTGACACGGTCGCTTTCCAAGCACACTGAGGGCTCACCCTGGCTCCTCCATCTTGGGCCTGGGTGCTCCCATGCCCCAAGCAACTCTCCACCCAGGGCTTCCCAGAGAGTAGGGGGCTCCCTAGGCCTCTCTCCTGGGGACTTCAGGCGGCCCCTTGACACTAGATCAAGCTATAACAGCAGAGCGCTCCTAGTCCTTTAAATGAGTCCTTCTCCACGAGAAGCTTCCTTTTCATGCCAATGCGTCTTCAACACCTCTCTGACCCCCCTCACCTTTTAAGAAACACTCAAGGGGCCAGCAGATGGTGTAATGGTTACCTCATTGGGCTTCCACACCGCCGACCTCAGTTCGAGCCCCAGACCTAGAGGCTAGAAACTCATGCCGGGGGTGTGTGCCCCAAATTCTGAGAGAATGGAGGGGGCTGATTTCTGTCTCTGTCTCTGTCTCTCCATGAGCACATGTACCCTACAGCAAAATCTCTCTTAAAACAAACAGAAAAAAGAAATACACCAGGCCCAGCTGCCGTGGCGTGGCATGGCACGGCGGCAATGCAGGTTTCCTCCAGGCTGAAAGCCGAAAAGCCGACTGTAGGTTTGCATCCCTGGGTTGGCCTGAAAACAAACTGGCACAGGCCAAGGCCCTCGGGGAGCCGGGCAGCTGGGGAAGGGGACTCTGGCATGACCAGACCCTCGAGGGGCCATCTTTCTGGTGCACGTGCCCGCGCTCTGCCCGAGAGCACGTCCGGAAGACTTCCATGGGTGGCAGTGGTTCACGCTGCTTAGCAGTGGCCATGGTTTAGTGGATCTTGGGCTAGGATTTGATCCCTTTCTGCCCTCCTTCCATGGTGTGGCTTCAGGACAATGGTCACCTCCCAAGAGCCCCACATCCCCCTCGCCACCTGGTGGTGTTGGTGAAATGAGATGACAATGGGAACGTGTCCCGCAGACCTGACGCCCCATCGGTGTGCCCCCGAGTGTGCTGGGATGGAAAGGTCTGGGCTTGCAGCCTGGCAGATCAGCTTAGCGGCTTCGCCCACGCTGCTGCGTGGTGTTGGGCCATGCCGTGGCACTGCCAGGACCTCGGTTTCCTCCTCTATAGTAGCCGGGAAGTCAAGCCTGGCCCTGCTGTCACCGGAGGGACCCCTGGCTCAGAGCAGACACCTGAAAAACGGTAGCCGCTATTGTAATTACCACCACTGTTTAATTTGCTTCACATGTTTACTCCCCGAGAATCAACACGCTCCCGGTTTCCAGAGAGCCTTGTACATCCTCAGCAAACCTCGTACAATAAGTGTCTCATCCAGAACTAATAACCCCCCAAGTGGGAGATAAATAACTTCCCTTAAACTTGCTGATTTTGGTATTCAGTAGAGGGCTACCTCAGCAACTCGCTAATGTGTGTTTTCAACTTGCAGACCAGTGCTGCAGGAGAGGAAAAAACACTTAAGAGGGAAATTCCAGTGGTGGGGCTCTGCCTCCGCTCCCACCGCTCCCACGGTGGCAGCCAGCAGAAGGCACAGGAGCCTTTAGCGTTTAGGAGAGCGTCCTGTGTTGGTAGAGTCAGCCATGCTGCAGTGTGCCACCCAGAGCCCCAGAGCCGGGCTCAGCGATGGCCGCGGATGGGTCTCTGCTGGCCCTGAGGCCGTCTCAGGCTGTGCATGTCTGGACACGAGCCATTTCTGGAGAGAGCATTAACAGTGCGTGTCACAACCTCCGAAGGTCTGTGGGCCTCCCACTCCCAAGATCCCCAAACCTGCCATGCATCCAGGCTCAGCCACTATCTGTCAGAGAACCCACGTCAGCCCGTCCATACCAGGCCCCCGGACACGGGACTGGTCTGCAATGTCAGCTTACGGCTGGAAAAATGATAGATGCTGACAACATCCCGGACTGCGGTGTGCAGTGTGGGAAGTGTCTCGACACGGCAGCAGCGGCTGGCGATGCCAGCTTTGAAGAGCTTTGCAGGATTATGATCGGACAGTGTGCATTCAAAATGCCCAGACGGTCCTGGCTCCCCATGTCGTGCAGGGGTGAAGCCTCAGGACACGAGACCTGTCTGTGGGCGTCCACCAGCTGTCTGTGGCTGAGAGGGCCGGAAGCCCTCTGCCCGTCCCTGGCAGGACCGACCGATCCAGCTGGCAGCGGCGGATCTGCGAGGTGTTAGGAGTGAGTCACGGCAGTGCCCGGAGGTGCGTGAGCGCAGGTCCACGTCTGCGAGGCAGCCGATTCTGCCTGACTGACATTTCGAAGAAGCCAATCCACCCATGTGGCGTGGACGGCGGAGACGCACCCCTGCCTCCTAGTGTGCTCGTTTCCGGGTGGCGTGATTGCTCGTCACGTTCTGGTATTACAACTGGCCTAGCTTCTTACACTTCTATTTACTTTACAATTTATTTACACGTGTCACACATCACCGTGGGAAAAACACGGGTTTCCAAAGCACCGGCGCGGCAATCCAACCGCCGGCCCGTCTACAGCAGCGCCGGAGAGGTCTGTGCGGCCGCGGGCTTTCAGCAGCTGCGCCGCCGGCCCCAGCCCATCGGCCCTGCCTGCGTTCCTGTGTCTGGTCAGCAACTGTTCTGTGATGCCCTCCTCTCCCCCACTTCACCACCGTGACGCCTAGGGTGCTCACGAGTCGTGCGGCCACCACGCGACCAGTCCCAGCCCTGTGCCCAGTCACGGCCCGGGGCCCTCCTCGCCTCCAGCCCGAAGGGCCGCCGGCCTGTCTTTTTCGGGGCTCTGCCTGTTCCCGACAGTCCATGTGGCGGAGCACGTGATGCGTGGCCTTTCGTATCTGGCTTCTTAGGGTGACGTCGCTGAGGTCCAGAGTGTCGCAGTGGGCCCTGCCCCTTCTGGCTGAGCAGTTCTGTTGTGGGGACCCTTCTGTTCATCTGTGTGCAGGCGGTGGACGTGTGGCGGGTCCTGCCTTCCGGCTGTGATGCATCGCCGTGGCCTCAGTGTCCTCGTCTGAGCCCCTGCCTCCACTCTGTGGGGTCACGGTGGCTGTGTGGCAGCGCGTCTTACTCCTGTAATGACACTCAGCCCCGCCAGAATGAAAGGCAGGACAAGGACCCCCACCCGGGCGCCCTGCCATTCTGCTCGCCGCCTCGCGTTCAGCCTTTTCCGTGATCCCGGAAGGCACTCTAACATGGGCGGTGTGTGTGTGCGTGAAACCCAGACTCTGGGGTCCCCTTCCCAGGGGCCCAGATTCTGCAGCTCCTGGGAGATCCCTAGAGTCTGCATTTCCAGGAAACTCCCAAGAATGCTGGGGCTGAGCTGTACAGAGTGCGCTCTTTTCCCTACTCATTTTTAAGGCTCAGAGAAGGTGAGCAACTTGCCCAGGGACACACAGCACCCAGCACCTGCCAGTGTGAACCTTGCAGGTCCACAGACTGTGCCCTTCTGCCAGAGACGAATGCAGGCTGGGGTCGGCCTGCCTGGGAGGACTTCCTGGGGGATCTAACCTCAGTTGCTCCTGGAAGCCTTCCCCATTCATAAAATACACAAATGCCTATGCTCACTCACAAAGCCCGGGCTCGGGGC